AAAGATCTTTGGTCGATACAAGAACAACTAACATACACTCGCGGAACTGGTTCCAAGGTTCAAAAACATGCCGCGTTACCGTAACCCGCATCTTGGTAGGGAGTCATTCTAAATTTTCATCAGTGCCATTTTTTTTATCTTCGCCTATGCTATACTTAGAAAGGTCAAAAGAAAGTTGGGGTTGTGATATCAGCAAAAGGGAGTTGAAGGGAAGACAGCTTCAGCTGAAGGGAAGGGAGGTGAAGGTAACCCTCATGAGCTTCGGTGCGTGCAGTTAATCATTTCATCGCATGTTTATGGCTCGACCAAGATGTGGCTGGGAGGCGGATAAGGCAATCAGGACACATATTGGTTGGGGATTTTGTTCGAGTTCGTAAGACCCCCTTTTTTGGGGTTGGTACGACCCCTGCCCCCCTCCTCCAGCCCTCGGTCCTTTCTCATCGAGCGGGGGGGGGTATTACGCGTAAAACAGGAAAATTACAAGTAGTCCACCACCTCTCTCAGAAGGCCAGCGAGTAAATACAAACTCCCTTCCCTCCCAACAACGAGCAAGTACGATTCCCCCCCCCTATTGGAGATTCCTCATCAACGAAGTTCCTGAAGACAATCTAATTCATCTCGCTCGTCGCGCGGCGTATGGTGCTTCAATGCGTGGTGAAGTCTCGACGTGCCTCAGTTTGTCGATTGGGGCAGCGAAACGTATGTGAATTCAAGCGGAGATGAGACTCCACAATAGGCGATATCGAATTTCTCCGTCCCTTTACCCCCAACCGGTAGCATAACTCGTCTGCTGGACGCGACGTCGCTCGCCACGCCCACCAGCGCGGCAGCTCGCGATTGTCTTGTCACATACCCAATGAAGTGCCGTTCTCAACCTATTGCATAGTTTTTATTTCTGGGACGAGATTCGGTGATGCGATTGATTCCTCCATTTTCATGAGAGACAGAATGATGAAGTATGTTTCCGCATCACCATTATTGTGCTTTTGCCTTGTTTGAAGAGCCGCGCGATCGCGAAGTATGAACGCGCTCTCATGGTCATCCGCTTCATAGGAACAAGCACGTTCAGGTATCTTGGCGAACTGGCTAGCAAAAGCAAGAAGGCGCAGTTCGGATTGTGGGGGCATTTTCGTAGTTCCAATCGATCACTGCCGATGCCTCCAGTGGAGACCTGTTAATTCCTGTAAAGCTATGATGCAGGAGGAGTTTGTTCAGACTTGATAAGGGCTCACTGGTCTCACCTGGTTGAGCTCGGATGGTGGGGGCTCGTGTAATTATATAAGAACTGAAACTAGCAGAAGTGCTCCTTTTTCTAAGCTGAAGAGCTTCCTGACGAAAGCAGTTTGTTTCAATTCATTTTTGGTTTTATGGATATTGTATTACACTGGGTTGGTCCATAAGTGCTAGGGTTTTTCCTGAATAAGATGAGTGCCCTGTAGAGTTCAAATCCGTGAAAAGGCTCCAAAGAGTGCGATTTTTGCAGAAACGTCAGCTGTATCAATCTCGGGAGGCTTACAAATCAAAATGAGAGATGAGATGTTTTTCCAGTGCATTCA